TTAAAAGAAGAAGAAAAGAAGAAGAAGAAGAAAAAAAGAAGAAGAAAAATTTATAATTTTTTTTGAAAAGAAGAAAAGAAGAAAAAAGGAGAAGTTGTCCTCTTGAAGAAGAAGAAAAATATGACAAGAAAAAAAGAAGAATCTAAAAAGAAATTAGAAGAAAAAAATTCAGAAGAGTCGTCTTAAAAACAACAAATTCAAAAGAAAAAAAAATTGAAGAATTTTGATAAAACAAAGAGTCAAATGGTGACTTTTTATTTAATAGAAAATGACATTATTTAATTGAAAAGTCCTTTTTGATGAAGATATAAATGAAAAGACAAAGAACTAAAAAAAAATGATGAGGAATGATGATGAAGAAAGAAGAAGAAGAAGGAAATTTTTACTATGATGAGAATAAGATTATGAAGAATTATTCGTTTTAAAAAAAAATCAAATCTAAATTTGACGAACGAGAAATGACCTGAAGAAAAAAAAAGTGAAGAGACTTCGTTTTAATTAGAATTTTATATTGGCCACTATCGTCAACCAGCGTTTCTTGAAATGGCTTTCTTTTTTTTTCAACAGTTATTGCTGCCTGCAGATTCAAACATCTTCAAATTCGGATCAATTCGGATCGACTGTTAATTACGGTTAATTTATTCAGGATTATATTATATATATTGATTCAGGATTAAACACACAGACACACACACACACACATTCTATAAAATTTCTAAAAAAAAATTCTAAAAACTATATTCTTAAAAAATCTTGGATATTGAGTTCTATTTGATTATATCCTCTGAAATTTATATTATATATATATATATATATATATATATATATATATATATATATATATATATATAAATTATTGACCACTTTCAATTGATTATATATATAGTCTGTTCATTATCTATCCATTTTTTATATTCAGATCACATCTTATTTATTTTCCGGTTATTTTTCAATGTAAATAATCAAATATTTAAACCTTTTTTCTAGGCGATTGAAATAAAGGTTTTCCCCAAAATTCTATTTTTTGGATATGCAAACAAAACCTCTATAATATTTTTTTGTATACGGTAAAATTTCTTAATAAAAGAAGAAGAAGAAGAAGAAGAAGAGGAAGAAGAAGAAGAGGAAGAAGAAGAAGAAGAAGAAAAAGAAGAAGAAGAAGAAAAAAAAAATAGTTTTTAAAATTAAGACCGCTCATAAATATATCTCAAAAAATTATTAACGTTAAGATAAATTATTTGAATGCTGAATGATGTAAATATATATATATATATATATATATATATATATATATATATATATATATATATATATATTGACCTGAATTTATCCAGTAAAGAAGACAATATTTATGAATAAAAAAATGACAATAGGAAATTTTAGTAATTGCTGACGTTTTTTGTTCAATGTTTATCAAAAGCAAAATATTGAAATGAATATTCATTTATATTTTGTTTTGATAAAATCCTTAAAAAAATGTCATAGTGGATAAATAAAGGCTGATCATTAGATCCAAATTTTTTTGTAGAATGTGAAATCAATAATCCGGTTAAGGCAGTGGAGAACTGTCATATCATTTAAAATAGGCATAAACTAGAACAGTCTATCCCAGTGATAGAAAAAAAATCATCGACAAAATCGACTATGAAGAAGGTCCGTATATGAACAGCCGAAACGTTGTAATAAATATGTTGACAAAGATGAGGACAATAGTCGAATAATGTAAATAATCATCAAATAATCATGGTTTATCATTATATTATTTTTATTTACGGAAACCTCGTCACCTCGACCGAGCTGGACAATCAAGATTTTCTTCGGCCGCATCAAGGACCCTCTAATTCTGTGTTTAACTTTTTATGGCGATCGAATTGGAAACTTATTCGTTCTTGGATCGCTCCGCTTGGAATTTGATCAATTCTATTCAATTCTGATTCACGTATGGAAATTAGCAAACGACTTAAGTATTCGAGTCCTTAAGGATTACATATTTAACGAGTAGGATTCATAAGAGAAATAAATCAAGTCTTTCATTCAGTCTAATGATTATATATATATATATATATTTATATAATAAATTACGATTTTATAATATATATATATATAGATATATATATATATATATATAACATATATATATATATATATATATATATATATATATATATATATATATATATATATATATATAATATGAAAAAAAAAAAAAAAATAAAATCCTTAAATGCAATTATGTTGTTTAAAATGAATGAAATGTCGACGTCTGACGTTTCGGTTTAATAAACCTTCTTCAGGACAATATTCATTAAAATACAATTCAGTTCAATTTGACAAAGACGATGGACATAAAAAAAGTCTTATCCAAAACAGATAACTGAAAATTTTTAAATGATCAGCTTTCCGTTTAGCATGGTCACGTTGTCGTCACATGGGCGACGCTTTCAAAACGTATTCCTAAAAATATATGAATAAACAAATTATAATCCAGGACATATTAAGAATATAATATAAAAGGCTTTTTATATAATATTCCACGAATATAATTTATTATATTGATTTTTTTATTGATTATATATACATTCCAATATAATAATATAATTATATATATATATATATATATATATATATATATATATATATATATATATATATATGAAGAAAAATATATATAAAAAAACAAAACAAAAAATCCTTATATACAATTATGCTGTTTTAATGTTAATATGTCAACGTCGGACGTTTCGGTCTAATAAACCATCTTCAGGACATATTCATAAATTATAACATTATCAATACAACATGACAAAGACGATGTACATAAGAAAAAGACTTATCCAAACAGAATAACTGAAAGTTTTATAAGATCAGCGCTCCGTTTTAAACATGGTCACGTTGTCGTCACGTGGGCGACGCTTTTGAAAACGTATTCCTAAAATTTGAGTAATTTGAATGAAAAATGAAAAGAATTCTATTTTGATCTAAAATTTATATGTACGCTTGTCGAGCATTAATCTCGCTAGAAAAAGATTAAAACAGCATAATTGTATATAAGGATTTTTGTTTGTTTTTTCCGTATATATTTTTCTTCATACTGTCGGATTTATATCCATATATTTGCTTACATATATATATATATATATATATATATATATATATATATATATATATATTCATGCATAATATACACATACACACACACACACACACACACACATATATATATATATATATATATATATATATATATATATATATATTATTATTTGTATAGACACAAATATTTCAGTAAATGGTCTGTTTATAATAAACAGTATTAACAACATTTACTGGCCTGAACGTCCGAAAAATTTCATAGAAGATTGATAATTATCTCGTTTTAAAGTTATTTTATTTTTGCTTTTAAAATACAAATTTCCCATCATTTTCCTCGAACGTCCATATCTGCTAGAAGCGTAACTTAACGCAATATATATATATATATATATATATATATATATATATATATATATTTAAAACTGAGGTTGTAGTTGTTCTAACGCGAGACCAGTGTATATTTTAAAGGGAAGAGAGAGACCGCCAACATTTTTGGTTATAATGTGGATTTTTAAATATATATTATACTTTATTTTCCATATTTTGTTTCACGCGTTTCCGTGATTTTCATCTGGAAAGGAGTGCTTATTTAAAGACAATGGTTAAACATCGGAAAACAACACAAGGAAAATTAATTCGTTTTAATAACATGTGGAAACGAAAACTCTTTGCCTGATGAAGGTTGTGAAACCAGAAACCCGTGTAGCTAAAATATGGAGAATAAAGCATAATACATATTTAAATAATTCCGCATTCTAATCAAAAACGTTTGTTTTCTCTGTTCTCTTTGTCCGCTATTTGTGACGTTTAGCGTCATATCGTATCGATCCGGGTTCGTTTCTTGGTAGTGGATGCGAACTGCTGAAGAGTCCCCAGAATTAAAAAAAAAAAATTTTGTTTTCAGTGCTTTCTGCATTCTGTTGAGGATTATTCTAGACTCGCTGAATTAATTATGATTATGCCTGAATGTCCGAGAACTTTTTGCTACTCATCTTTTATTCGTTCTCCGACAGGAATCGAACCTGTATCCTATACGGAACCGTCATTTAACCTGGCGTGCCTTAATTTGATTGAGCCACAGAGGACCGTTCGCTCTATAAAGGTCGATTTTACTGCATTTTAATACAATGGTTCCTTAATATCTGATCCTCACGGCATTCCATATCTTTCATTTATTTATCCAAATGTAAACAAATGACGTCATTTTATAAATGGAAAAAATCCGACAATTATTTTAATTACATTTTTTATGTTTTCCCATTCTTTTATATATACATATATTTAACATGTAAATGCTTCTGTTTATAATAAACAGTATTAAACAATATTTCTGTTGAAAATTTCTCGGACATTCAGGCCGGTAAATGTTGTTTAATACTGTTTATTATAAAACATATTTATGAAAATATATTTATTTATTTCAAAAATAATATATAAATTTAAAAATGTTTCAAAATAAATTTTATTTATAATATTCTATTTGATTGGAAGTTCCGCAAGATGTCTATGATTTATTCATTATAAAATAATGACAGATTATGATTTTTATCTATACAATGCAGTGTAAAGAGTTTAATATAATGGTACATTGTGATTAATTCTATTATAGAAGTTATTTGTGAATTATTTTAATTTAGTAGTGCATTTGAAATCGAGAAAAGAAACATATCTGTGTAAATTTTACTGGAACATTATGAATCAAAAATGGTTGTTGATGAGATGCTATCAATTAATGGACGGGTTTTGAAAAGTTCAAAACTTAAATATGTTCCTTAACTTTTTCCTGGCTTTGACTTGAAATACCGACTTGCTCAATATAATAACGTCTTTTATGGAACTGCCATAAATATATCCAACGTTTTTTTAAATTTTATAAGATTTCAGAAAAAATTTAAATTGAGAAGAAA